ACTCTTTCCTTGTCTTATATCCCTTCCTGCTCTGGATGGAGTGCTACTTTGGAATCCTGCTTCCTTTGGTGCTTCTCATTTTCTTACCGTCCCGACCTATTACTTCTATTCTGCTCTACACATGCCACTAATTATGTATTTTAAATTTATATTCTGTCTTCGAATCCATTAGCTGAGGCTTACCTCTCTTACTCTAATTCTACTTTGACTTTATTTTTCCCCAGTGGTCTTTCTACCTTGTTTTCGTTTTACTTCTGTTCAGTTAATTGACACTTAATCTCCCCATTCCCTCACTGTGGTACTTGCAATGTGTTCTTATTAATATATGGAATTTGTTACTTAACTAGGCATGTCTATACTACTGTGTATTTCTCTCTATTCTGTATCTATCTGTGTCTTTAATAATATCCTACTGTTAAGTATTCCTAACACAAATGACATTAATCTTGTACTAATTGAACATGCACTGGATCTGTCTCTTCTAAGAATTTGTAGTGTTATGTCAGCCATTGCGAGTAGTTTTAGATGTAGGGAGTACACATTGTGCCTTGATACAATTAATAATAGAAAAAGGTTGAAATCAGAATTTGTTAACTGGAATTTTATTTTGGTGCAACTTGGTGAAAAATACATATCCATTTGTCCTTGTTAGTAGGTTAGCATCACTTATCAAAAGAAAACTTACATACGTTTCAATTTTCGTATAGTTGGAAGTATGCCTTGTTTTCTGTTCTTTTGTATTATTGGCAAGTGGTGTGTAAATCACATCTTTTAATATGTATTATCGATGTATGAATGACTCCTTTGCTTAAGAACCCTTGTGTATACAATTGGAAGACCAAAAATGATTTTAAAAAGACAAGGGAAAAAAGAGAAAAAAATAAATAAAGGCAAGGGAGTAGAAAACAAAGCAGCAGGTAGGGAGGTGGGATAAAGAAGGGCTAATATTTCTATTTTTGCAATGTGTGGTTCGTTTCTTCTATCTATGAATCTAGTTCAGTGTTTTGTAACTTACATTAAACATATCTTGCATTTATCAAATACTATGGTTAAAATATAATAAAAGAAATTTGTAGTCCTAATTAGTCTGGTTTGCAAATCTGGATCCTTTAGATTGGTTTTTTAAAAAGTTATAATTAAGGATAAATATATGTTATAAAAGTAAAGCCTTCAAGGCCATTAGGCTCTTAAATTGCATTACTGCAGATTGCCTTCTGATCTTTGTTTGCATACGTACCCCCTTAATTTTTTTTTTTTTTTTTTTGCGGTACGCGGGCCTCTCACCATTGTGGCCTCTCCCGTTGCAGAGCACAGGCTCCAGATGCGCAGGCTCAGCGACCATAGCTCACGGGCTCAGCTGCTCCGCAGCGTGTGGGATCTTCCCGGACCGGGGCACGAACCCTGCACCACCAGGGACGCCCCTCCCTTAATTTTTGATTAGTGTTAGTGTGGTAGATCTTTTTCCCTCATTTAACTTTTAACTCAATTTTGTCATTCTATTTAAAGTAGGTTTCTGATAGCACATAGACCTTCAGATTACCTGTGAGTAGAGAAGTAAAACCAAATTCTGACAGAGCTGGAGTAGAGAGAGCTTATGAGACTCTGTAGAAAAGAGTAGAAGATACAGAGGACTTAGATGAAGCAGGTAAAAATCATTCCAGAAAAGGGAAGTCTACCATTAAATGGCAAAACACAGAACACAGGTTCACATCACTGACTATAGGGAATGGGGTTGGGAGGGGTAGCCTTTGAGGGAGAAACAGATAAATAGAGAAGGGGAGGTATCCTTGGAGAAGTTAACGATGAAGGAAAGAACAAATGGGAGGAAAATTAAGGATCTCATAGAAATAGAAATAAAACGGCTAACCTGTGTCCTCCGCTAAGCCACCCATGGAAACATCCATAAAGGAAACTGCACAGGAGATTGCAGGGCAGAAGTGCATGGTTTCAAATTCAGAATCCTGACCCCAAATGAAGTGAACCGTTACCTTTTCAGTTACTCAGCATGCACTGTTTTGTGTCTCTTTTACACTTCATGTTCTTTCATGTATGATAATTTTGGAGAGTCATTTTCTTTTGTTCTAGCCATTTTCTAGTGAACTCTTGTATGTGGTCTCCATGTATCGTGTATGTAACAGGTAGACCCTGAGTGACTCTCCATGAGGGCCAGGTGTTCTAGACCTCCCTCCCCTCTTGGCCCTTAGGTTACTCCTGAGGCATATTTTCTCTCCAAAAGACATCATGGAAACCCTGGTCTCTAATGGTTCATAGTTTGATTTCATCAGTTCTCCCTGTGGCAGGTTAGTTTCCGTTGAGTATTTCTGTTACAGTTTATCTCTATTTATTTATTTTTCTTTTCGGAAAGGTGTATGTATGTTTGTTCATTTATTCATCACTTGAAACATATGACGACTTAACCGTTCCAGCCACCATGCTTTCAGCTTTAAATGAACAAATTTTTTTCTTAAGGAGCTCAGTCTAATTTGAAATATAAAGCCATTTCTTTCATGAATTCAATTCACTGAGCCAATTACTAGTGGTAATAGTTGTCACAGGTAACTCTTAAATGGCACTCCTGTGCCAGGTACTATTTTGAGTCTTTATCTGTGTTCAGTCACTTAGCCTTCTTAACAACCTGTTGATTATCCCCATTTACACTTAGGGGACCTGAGGCTCACAGGCATTCAGTGCCTTGTTCAAGGTAATGGCTAGTCCATGACTTGAACCCAGGCAGTCTGTCTTGATCGTCTTCGTTCTTAGTCATTACTCTGCTGCCTCAGTTAGCTTTGGATCCATCTATTCTGACATCTTTAAGACTACCTCTTTTATTTAAATAACGTGTGTGTTTAATTTCTTACCACTTCTTCTATTGTCATTGTGGTTCATCGTCCTCTGCCTGGTCCAGTGCAGGGCTCTCATCTTTGCTTCTACTCTTACCCTCCCCACAGTCTCTCTTCCATTTAGTATTTACAATGATCCTTTTATAGTGTGATCAGATCTCATCACTCTCTTCCTCAGATCCTTCCACTGACTTCTCTGTCCATGTGGAATGTACTCCAAACCCTTCATCACCTGGCTCCGGCACGTCTCTGTCTCCTTCCTTTAGCTCTGCTCTGTGTTGATATTTCCTCTATGGCCTCCCCTGCTGCCCAGGGATATTTGCTTAGCCTAACCCTTCCTTGTTTGATTTCCTTCAAATTCCCGTCTTTAACACAGCCTCTTCTGACTATCATAGTCAAAGTACCAGTTCTTCTTTCAGCCACTCTCCTTTCACTTTAACCAGTCATAGCACTTGCTACTTGATATTTTATACTAGTAGGTGTATTCCCCTATTGTCTCTTTGGTTAGATTGTAAGCTGCAGAGGGGCAGGATGTGGTGGGTCTCATTTACTCAGTGCTGAACTATAGCAGGTGCTCAGTAAATCTCAGTTGAATAAATGGAGTAAAGAAATGTCTTTACTAATTAATGGGTTAGTGCTTACTGGGAAGCGATATTGAGTTTGTGAAGTTCTCATGCTTTCTGTCTCTGGAATCAGAATCTTCCATATAGATGCTCAGTATCAGGGCACTGGGTTTCACTCATCTCATTGTTCCTTCTCACAGGCCAGTGAGTAAATAGTATCCATGAGTTCTCCAATTGTGCTTGACTGTTCTGAAACATTTTGGTATTGTTTCAGTTCTCAAATTATATTTCTTAGAAACAAAATTTATGTCATCATTCTTGAGTTGTAGTATTTAGTATCCTAGGCCATGGAAAATTGTATACTTGAGATTTTCCAGGAATGATTAGTGTGCTGCTTGGGCAACTTCTTTTAAATTTAGCTAGAGCAGTGTTTCTTGACTCTATATGTTATTAACCCCCCCAATATTAAATTAAATTTTAATTTAAATGAATTAAGTCCCCAACCAGAAAAATAAAATGCTAAGAAATAGGAGAGACTCTAAATGCTGAGAAATAAAAAAAGTTGAGCCTTGGAAGGTCACAAACCATTGCAATGTCTTAAGATCTGTTTTTTTAACCGTCCCCCTCCCCCAGTTTTGAATCTCTTTGGGAGTAGTCTCCCCACCCTCCACTGACAAGGCATGATGTTCAAGTAAGTTCTTAAGATGCTTGAATAAGTCAATTTCAGACATTATATTTTTCTTCTAAAATGTTTCAAAAACCTTTTGGTCAATCTTAATAGAATATGGTTTATCATCAAATATACATGATGTTTATTTAAATATGTTAGTAAAATCAGTGACATGCCTTTCACTGCCCAGTTTGGAATTTCAAATTTGTTCATAGTTTATCTAATACTAGTTTTTACCTTTAGTATAAGGTGCTTCTAACACTTGGAGTGGAGAAAATAGATTATAATTTAAAACTTTAACATAGATTTATGTTAAGTATTTTGGTATTATTTCTGATTTTGATTAGAAGAAATCTTACACCTATTCCTGTTTCCTAAGGCATACTTTCCAACTTCTGCTAGCTTTAGAAGTTTGCGAATCACATATTTACGTTTTGTTTCAGTTACAAACCAGTGGACCACAAGCTTATTTGGCTACCCTTACGGGAGGCATTTGAGGAACTCTTTGCTCAGACATTTTCCAAGAAGCAAAACTTTACATTCTTGGGACACATTCAGACCTGTTACAGGCAGAAACGGTGGCACGATCTCCTCAGACTAATGCAACATGTGCACAAGTCGGCTGTCAACAAGGATGGAAAAGAGAGTGAGACTGGTAAGAATGTGACCCAGGCTGCCAGTGGGAGGGCATGAGGCTGAAGTTTAATTAGCAGAATTAGGAGAAGAGTTTGGGGGAACAATGAAGCAATACACTTTAGAGCTTTCTAGGACTTTAGGCAGAGCTGACTAATTTTGAAGTATTGCTGCTCCTGTGACTCTAGTCAAGATTTCCATCAAAACAGGTGGTTGCTGATGTTGATGTACAGTACCACTTAGTGGTTAGTAAGTCACATGTGCTTAGAAGAAGAGGTTACTTCCAGAAAACTGGATTCCACAGCGAGTGGGGCTTTTGGTGGCTTAGTTGTCTTCTTCCTCATCTATAAAGTGGGAATAAGAGTACCTACTACAAAGGGTTGTTGTGAGGATAAACGAGTTAACCAATACGTATGCATATAAACAAACTGATTAGTATAGTGGCTGCACATGGTTGACATTATGTAAGTGTTTGGACTTAATTTTTTATACTTCTAAGATGTGATTTTGGTGTGTTATGTTAATTGTGTGTTTTTTTAAGTTATATATATTACAACTCAAAGTGTATGTTAAATTCTTGTCTTTATTTTTCTCTAGGGTCATTACTAAAAGAGAAGTGGGAAGCATTTGGTCTTAGACTCAACCATGCCCAACAACAGATGAAAATGACTGAAAATGCCCTATTGTTTGCATTTGTAGAGGTATTTTGCTTCGGTTGTTTAGGTTAAGGGAATGTTGATTTGACGCAAAATGCAAGTTTAAGGAGGCTACTGTTTTGTATTCTCTTCATGTTGACATTTTAGGGCTTGTTGTTTAAGACAGTAAACACTTAATGAAATAATTCTTTGGGGGGAAGATTTTTTTTAATGTCCTTTATAGAAATTATAAAGTCTTGGTGAACACCATCATTACTATTTTTAAAGATGCAGTTGAGAACAACTAGTGAATTTTTTTATTGTTTCATATGTGTGTGTGTGTGTGTGTGTGTGTGTGTGTGTGTGTGTGTGTGTGTGAGAGAGAGAGAGAGAGAGAGAGAGAGAGTTTGATTCCAGTGCATGGGTAGCTGTACTGTTTTCTCTTCTGCGACCTTGCAGGATCAACTTAGTTAAATGTTTGTGACTTAAGCTTTTTATATTTTTATTAAAGAAAATTGTTTCTGTGGCACTCTTCAGACCACACTCTAAGGGAGGTGTAGGAATCTTACTTGAGATGATGTCTTAGTAAGAGAGAAAGTCCCTCAGCCATATATCCATTGTGGGAAATTTAGTCATCAGTGCTTAATCTTAATATGATTGCTTCTAAAATAACCAATGAAAATGTCAAGTGCTCTCAAAATACGGTTTATACCTATTTCATGACTTGACATTACACTGGATTTTAATATGTTCCGTTTTATTTTTTTCAGTTTTATTTACAGAAGATTCTGTGTTAGGATTACCATGAAAACAAAAGCATAAAGCAGTTTAATAATAGTAAAACAATTAAGTTTCTCATGTTGTGTCACTTGAGTAGATTGTCAGTTCATTGCTTTTGGAAATAGAACTTGAGGAGATCAAATCAGTAGAGATGAGGAAAGATTCATCTTGATATCTTCAGCAACTCTGAAAGGCTCTGAATTACAACCACTATACACTCTTGATTTAGTCATTCATCTTTTCTTGGTATACTCATAGCCTGACCCTGTATTTATTTTGGGTCTTTTTAATAACCATTTGCTTACCTTTAAACATCTGAATACATTGTAAGTTATTATTTGCCTTAGCATCCATATAATGGGGTGGTCTAGTTTATTGCATCTCATCGTTAGGCTCAGAGAGATTCCCTTGACCCTTTTGGATATTTGAAAAAAAGTTAACTTGACCTTAACTCTGGCAACCAGCTGGCAGCCATTTGGCATTAAGGTGTAAGCGCATCAGGTAGGAGAGGTTTGCCCTTGCCTCTGCTTCTAACCCTGTTCACATAACTGTTCTTGGTGAGTGTGTTTGTGTTTGAAATGGACCCTTAACATTTTACTTCATCTTCTAGGGTACATTAGCTCAGGCTGTAAAGAAAGGAGAGTGGATCTTGTTGGATGAGATTAATCTGACTGCTCCAGAAACATTAGAATGTCTGAGTGGTTTACTTGAAGGCTCCTCTGGCTCTCTGGTGTTGCTGGATCGAGGAGACACAGGTAGCACTTGATCCCCTTGGGGTTTGACTTGATGCGAGGCCTTTTGGCCTCTTTAATATTCTTGGGACTTCCCTGGTGGTCTAGTGGGTAAGACTCCGTACTCCCAATGCAGGGGGCCTGGGTTGGATCCCAGGTCGGGGAACTAGATCCGGCATGCTGCAACTAAGTCTGCATGCCACAACTAAGACCCGGGGCAGCCTAAATAAATAAATAAAATGTCTTTTTAAAAAAGTAATATTCTTTTGGTTAGGTAGATTACATGGGCCTCCCAGTGTGATTTATTTATTCTGTAGATAGTAATTTTCTGCAAAGTCTTATTGTTAGGTGATACAGGGAATGAAAAGAATATGATAATTCGTCAAGGCATTTGAGTGGTGAGTAATAAGGCATGCACACTCAGTGACAGTGTACGCGCTGGTGAATAGGTGATGAAACATAAATAGCATGAACAACCTCACCATAACAGATGGTGGGATGGCAGTTTAAGATTAAGTTGTGTACATAGATCTGGAAACTGATTTCATTGGGGTTTGAGAAAAGGCAAGGATGGTTGAGCAGCCAGTATCAACCTTGCTGAGCCTTGAGGCATAGTGGTTCACCCTGGGGTTCAGTGGAGTTAGTCTTCCCCTGATCACTTATTGTTACAAGTTGTTGAGAATTTATAGTTTTCTTTTAACAGAACCACTGGTTCGTCATCCGGATTTCCGTTTATTTGCGTGTATGAATCCAGCAACTGATGTGGGCAAAAGAAATCTCCCACCAGGAATAAGAAACAGGTAAGGGGACATGGCTTGGTTCCTGGAGCTGTTTTTAAAATTAAGTTCTCTTTATTTACTGATTGGTAGTATTAACGTAACCAACCGTCATAACAATGCTTGAAATTTATTGACTGCTGATACAGGAATCTTTTTACTTGTAGTAGTCTTCTTTCTATAGGTGGTAGGAATGTGGAAAACTCCAGAACACTGGGAGTTTTTTTCCTTTGGGTTGTTCGTATGACATTTAATGGCTCATGGATATTGTTGAAAACAAAAATCTTTCCTCCTTCAGATAGCCTTTTAGCTATTAGAAAACCTTCACATAACGAAATAATAGTATATCATATAACAACGTAAGTGCATTTTAGGCAGAGTCCTGTTGGATGAGACTAATGATGTGTAAAAGAACATTTAAGTTTCATTTTTCATCATTAAGCACAGACTGACATGAACGAGATGTTTTACGTATGTAGCATTTGGGAAAATATAATGACCTTGAAAAACCTAAGGGCAGGACAGGAATAAAGACACAGACATAGAGAATGGACTGGAGGACACGGGGAGGGGGAAGGGTAAGCTGGGAAGAAGAGAGTGGCATGGACATATATACACTACCAAATGTAAAATAGATAGCTAGTGGGAAGCAGCCGCATAGCACAGGGAGATCAGCTCCGTGCTTTGTGACCACCTAGAGGGGTGGGATAGGGAGGGTGGGAGGGAGACGCAAGAGGGAGGGGATATGGGGATATATGTATATGTATAGCTGATGCACTTTGTTATAAAGCAGAAACACACCATTGTAAAGCAATTATACTCCAATAAAGATGTTAAAAAAAAAGATAAATGACCTTGTTTATTGTTGGTAACCTTTTGTTGAATCTGAGTTTTAAAATAGTGTTAAAACTTTTCTAGATCTTCTCCCACATTATAAAAGTAGTAAAAGCTTTTTAGGAAAATTTTATCAACCACAAGTATGTATTTTCCTTTGCTACAACTATGAATTTTTGATAGTGAGGAGGCTTTTTTGTTATTTTGCATGTACTTTTTGTTACATATAGTTGTAATCAAAAACACCTGAAAATGAGGATAAATAAAGTCTTAGTTTTGTAACTGTTTTTGCAAGGACTGTTTGACTTTCTTAGAAGTAGTAATGGTAGATTTTTTTGGTAGCGGTTACATTATCTTCTATTTCATTATGATCAATCTGTATCTCAAGTTGAAAGGCCTTCATAATTCGTATTACAAGCAGGTAAAATGAGTTTATATAACTTCTCTCTTGTGTTTTGTACTGTCAGAATAGCTGTATTAACTTCCTCAGAAATGGTTATTATGGAATAATAATTGTCTTAACAGGTTCACAGAACTTTATGTAGAAGAATTGGAAAGTAAAGAAGACTTACAGATCCTTATTGTGGATTATCTGAAAGGCTTGAGTGTGAACAGGAGCACAGTGCAAGGAATCATAACGTGGGTTCTTTTTAGTTTCTCTTTATAAACTTCTCCTCTTTGCATAAAAATGTGTACCTCATGCACGTATACTGTTTTCTTTTTTGCTTCTAACGAAAGAAGACTGATGGAAGGATTATTTAGATTTTACTTTAATGTTGGAACCTTATGGACTCCCTTGGATTTTCCTAAGGAAACTACATAGAGAGCTTATGAGAATATGTATTGTCGATTCCTGTGAGAATATGTATACACAATTAGATAATGCTCTCCTAATTACTTCTTTATTCACAGCTAAGAGTTTGAATCCCTTGAGGAGATATGAATGGCTTGTATTTTGATCTGCCTTGGTGAAATCCTACTTTTTGCAATTTGCATATTAGCTTTGTGGAATGTAGAGGGGGGAAGGTTGATATAATTGATTGAGGCCAGTTTGGAATTATTAGAGTCTTAGCTGAATGAAGTATAGAGTGATTATATTGCTTGGTGCTTTAATTTGAGTTTCTTTCCTCTGTTTTTTTGTATGCCATGTGGAAAGGGTGCAGTCTTTTGTATCATACACCCTGGGTTCTAGTGCTGGCTCTGTCAGAAACTAAGTCTGTCATCTGGAGCACGTCACTTAGTTGATTTTATCTGTGTCCTCTAAAACAAGATATACAATATGTAAAGATTCTGAAGTTGGATCATATTAGTGTTTTATTTTGCTTTTTGTGCTTTTTTCCTTATTTATTTATTTTTTTTTTACAAATAGTTATTGAGTGGCTCAGATGCTAGGGGTACAGTTATAAATAAAACAGACAATCTTGGTTCTTTTCAGGGAGCTTTAATTCTACAGGTGAAGATAATCAGTAAATACTGTTATTTTTGGTTGTGATAAGTGAAGAAAAAGAACATATAAAGCAAAATGCTGGTTAGAAAATAAAACTTGGAGCCCGGTTTTAAATAGGTTAGTCAAAGAGGCATTTGTCAAAGGGTTTCGGAGTGGTTTGTCACACCACATTTTAAAATCAGAGCACTTTTTGTTAGCCAAGAATATTTAGACAAAAGCGTAAATATGTGTAGTTAAAATTCAAAAAGCTGGAGATAAAGCAGTGTGGCTGAAGTGTGGCTCTTATAAAATGCTAATAGGGCTTCCCTGGTGGCGCAGTGGTTGAGAGTCCGCCTGCCGATGCAGGGGACACGGGTTTGTCCCCCGGTCCAGGAAGTTCCCACATGCCGCAGAGCGGCTGCAACCGTGAGCCACGGCCGCTGAGATTGCGCGTCCGGAGCCTGTGCTCCGCAACTGGAGAGGCCACAACAGTGAGAGGCCCGCATACCGCAAAAAAAAAAAAAAAAAAAAAAGGCTGATAGTTTGTTCCATATATAAAAGCCCACTTCTGGAATGTAGAGTCTTTTTACAAAAGAAAGAATGTCTAGCTAGATTGCAAGGAGGGAAGACAGATCTCATTTGGGCAAGAACTTGGGTTTCATCTCTTTATTTGGTTGCACTGGGTCTTAGTTGTGGCAGGTGGGCTCTTTAGTTGTGGCGTGTGATCTCTTAGTTGCTGCATGCACGTGAGATTTAGTTCCCTGACCAGGGATTGAACCTGGGACCCCTGCATTGGGAGTGCGGAGTCTTATCCACTGCACCACCAGGGAAGTCCCTTGGGTTTCATCTCTGACACGTTTGGTTATAGTTGATCTTGTGGCATGTGATCATGAATTTCATGAATTTTTTTTTTTGGGCTACTTTGGGTCTTTGGTGCCGTGTATTGGGCTTTCTCTAGTTGCGGCAAGCGGGGTCTATTCTTCATTGCGGTGCGCAGGCCTCTCATTGCAGTGGCTTCTCTTGTTGCGGGCACAGGCTCTGGGCATGTGGGCTTCAGTACTTGCGGCATGTGGGCTCAGAATTTGTGGCTCGCGGGCTCTAGAGCGCAGGCTCAGTAGTTGTGGCGCACGGGTTTAGTTGCTGTGCGGCATGTGGGATCTTCCCGGACCAGGGCTTGAACCCGTGTACCCTGCAATGGCAGGTGGATTCTTAACCACTGCACCACCAGGAAGTCCTTCATGAATTTTTGAGATTTGCACTTGATGTTTCAGTCTGAAACTTCTTCCATCTTGTCATCTTCTGGACTTCTAAATTATGTGGTAATGAAAGTAGAAATGGTCACCATATCATCATGCTTTTTAACATTTTGTCATTGTTGATTATAACCGAATCTGTAGACTTTCTTTTAAAGCACCATTACTTTTGTTTTCTGTTTGCTTATCCATCACCATTAGAGATTACCCAGGGACTTCATTTGACCCTCATATTAAAGCCGACTTTGGAACCCTGTGTTTGGATTCAGTATATTCCTGCTAAGGGCCTCTCATATCTTACTACCATTCCCTTAAAAATCAGACACATCTCACCTTTCTTCTCTTTCCATCCTAAGGGAAATTGATCAATATTCATTTTATTATTTTTGATGCTCTAAGAAGTTGTATGTAAGCTTGGCCATCTAATCTGTAAAAATGCCTTTTGGTCCTTTTGTAGAGAAATGGGAACAACAGCAAAATAGTAGGGCTTATTAGTTAATAAAATAAATCTTTTGAACTGCATCCTCTCTGTAGGTTTTATACAGCTGTGCGGAAGGAGTCTGGGACAAAATTGGTGGATGGGACCGGCCACAGACCTCACTACAGCCTTCGGACTCTCTGTAGGGCCCTGCGATTTGCAGCCTCCAATCCATGTGGCAACATCCAGCGCTCGCTCTATGAGGTCTTTGTACAGTCTGTGTTTGGTTGGGAGCTTGGTGGATGGGCACACCATGGGGAAGGAGCAAGTGGGGATGACCGTGCCAGGGTTGCCAGTGTTTTCTGTTTAGTCAGATGAGCTCAAAACTTTTCATACCGGAACTACCCTGCCCTTTTTCTACCATTGTATCCCATTTAAAAGTTGTTCTGGGGGCTTTCCTGGTGGTGCAGTGGTTGAGAGTCTGCCTGCCGATGCAGGGGACCACGGGTTCGTGCCCCGGTCCGGGAAGATCCCACATGCCGTGGAGCAGCTGGGCCCGTAAGCCATGGCTGCTGAGCCTGCGCTTCCGGGGCCTGTGCTCTGCAACAGAAGAGGCCACAACAGTGAGAGGCCCACATACCGCAAAAAAAAAAAAAAAAACATA